TTATTGAACTGCTCTTAAGTTTGGATTAAAGTGTAAAATGCTTTCAATGCAAAACATCAAAAGTCACATCATTATTTTAAGAGTAACTACTTAGTCTTTGTCTTTCTCATATGTTGCTCAGTCAATTCTCGGGGGTTATAGCGTCCATCGTAATACAACTTTGATGAAAATACTGAAGGTTGACTGTCATTCTTCATACACGGATCACAGTTATCCCTACATGCATGAATAAACGCTGAGTTCTCAGCTGAATGCTAAACAGGCTGATGTTGCATCACAGAAAAAAAACTGTTATGTCTCTGAGTCATTTCTTCTTGTAGCCTCTGAAGGCTGAAAACAACAGACGGTTTTCCTGTTCGAGACGAAGCAGAAGTGGTGACACTTACAAAGCAACAAAAATAAATACAGAGAGACATAATCAAACTGAGGAAAAGGATCTGTCACTAAACAAAGAATCAACTTGTCCCACGTACATGACAAAATACAGAGGCATGAAATCAGAACACGGGATTAAAGGCTGCATGTTTACAGCACAGCCTATAAGTGATCACAGAGCCCACAGAGCAAACCACATGTCCCTAAACCTGACCAAGCTGTTTCCTGTGAACACGGAGGTTTATTTTGAAAAGTCTATGCATGTAACAAGCAGAGAGTGACACGTGCTCTATTGCCGCTAGAGGGGTACGTAGAGCATCGTAGTTCAAGTCCAGCACTTGGCAGCGCCCCAAAAATAGCCGTGATCCATTTTCTAACTATCAATGACTTCCCCTTGCTTATGTAGATTTAAGGTCAATGAGAATTCACAGAAATCAAATGCTCATGGATTTATGTAGTCGGCTCTGCATGAGAGGCTTAAAGAATCATGTGAACTGACAATATAACACTGTATCCATTATAACTGGGTTCAAACACAAACATGGCTTCATGTTAGGTCCGTATTTGTTTGTTTTCAGGGCACTCGTATTCATTACAGTTATTACAATTCATCCCGAGGGGAACACAAATGTCTGAACCACCTTTCATCTCAATTCGTCCAATGGTTGTTTATATATTTACGAAGAGACAGAACTTTATTTGTCCCGTGGGAAATTTGCAGCAGTTGCAGTACAAATAGGAAAGACATCAAATAAAATATAAAAAAGGTGGAAATTAAAAATATAAACAGGTATTTAACCTTAAATATATAAATTTGAGTCTGGACCTGAGAATCACCTGTTTGCTTAAAGTAAATATCATTCAACCATGTCAGTCTTATGTCTTGTTTCATTGTTTTTCAGTAGCAGGTGGTTTTATCTGCTCAGAAGAGCTGAACAACACAGTGAAACATTGAAACGTATATCTCCAGATCTCAGATGAATTACACCGCATTCATTTATCTGGAACAGAACGTAAATGACGAGCAAATTCCCAGTTATCGTGATTTGGATCTGGACGAGGAAGGAAGGCTAAATTAGCTATCTGCAGCTCCGGCATCACTCGGTTATTAGCACACAGGGCAGAATGACAGCGCTAATGAAGTGGAGGCAACAGGAAGCAAAACACAGACCTCTGGGCCGCCGAGGAGCTCAGAGGCATTAAGCCAAGGCTGACAACTCACTCCAAATGAATTAATGCCTTTGCTTTTGGTCAATACAGTTTGGAGAAAACACAATAAGTGTAAGCAGGGTTATTTGGTTTAATGAACAAAGGAAGTGGAGAGGAGTCGTTTCTTCAGTTTGATTGGTCGATAGCTCTCCCTTCCCCCACCCTCACTGGCCTCGTCCTCCACCCACCTGCTCCACCTGCCCCTCTTAAACTGTGAACAATGTGAGGAACTGCTATTGAACTCATTCACACCAATATGTCTTTGAAGGTGTTTAATTGGATTTATTGTAACCGCCATATCGACCGACTACGGTGGATTCATTATAATCCTACAGTTAGTTGTTACAATGTTCATTTGTTGCAACCAGCAGGAAGGAGTTTCTCTTTAAACTGTCCTTCCCAACCAGTTTTGTTGTTGACCCATTGAGACGTACAGATATTGGGAAATACAAATAACCCTGAGTAGTTTCTTAATAAATTCTTAAAATCAGGTTTAAGCTGAATTAGAGCTTAAAAACAAACTCACGACTCAGGCTGGAATTGTATTTCTGCAAAGATGCATGTAAACAAATGTGGAGACCGATGTGAAGAAAGGTGTTACACTGACAACACGTGCCCCACATTAGCCACTGCGTTCATACTTCATATGTTCATATTACATTTACTATTATTACTTATTTTAAATTTCAGTTTATGTTTAACTGGCTGCCTGATCTAAGGCCGTTAATTGAGGGACAGCTGTTTGGAAGAAGACTTTTTGAATTTACAACAAACTTCCAGATTTGTCCTGTTTGGAAAATCTTCCTGCGGAATTATTAATCCATGAAAAAGAGAATCCACATCTTTGATCCTCTCGTAAAAGTGAAACATGACAAAATATGATTTTACAAAATATCTTGAGACACTAGCATAGCAAATGTAAGGCTACAAACAACCCATAATGCAACGCTTTCTGTAGGAGCTGGTGTTACTCTTATATAATTGTCCTTGAATGTAAGACAACCCGACTTTTTTTGTAATTTCCAGAACAAAATATCATCTTGTATTTGGGACAATATGATGCTTTTTATCATTGAGAGTGTACACTCAAGCTTCTTTTCTGAACCTTATAGGCTTATTAGCACCATTCATTTGCTCACAGATAATGACATGTTAATAATTTATTCTTTTGACCATACAGGTGATCCGAGAGTCTGAACTGAGCTGCAGCAGAACAGACAAGGAGAAACATTAATGAAAAATATCATAATAATGTGACCTGAGTGTCATTCTTTATGAGCATGATGCCATAACAAGCATCTGAATGGCAGATATTTATAAATAGGCAGCTGAGTTTTACTTGAAATTAGAGAAGAAGGAACAAAAAAAGAGGAACATTAATGTGTTGTTGCAAAGTGGCTTTTCTCCAGCGTCCTTCACTTCCACCATTAGAAGACTATTCAGCAGGACTATATCTTTCATCATGATGCTTTTGAGCTGCCAGATGATTTGATATTTGCCAAAAAAGTCACGTGACACTTTAGTCCCTGACAGCTGTATCCTAACAGATCAATCATGAGTTTTCTATTGTCACGGTGTGTTTCCAACAGCCTGAAGGACAGAAAATATTCTCTTGATGACAAAAATCATCTTACCAGCACCTCTGAAGCTCACTGATTAACATGTTGTATATCTTGTGTGTTTCATCCGTACAAAACCAAAGTGTAAAAACGACATGTTGTGGTTTTTATTCGGTAACTAGAGGTTGTGTTGTGTCTCTTTCTGGTCATCTTGCGTATCTTCGTGTTTATTTTGTAGTCGTTTCGCATCTCCGCAGTTGTTTAATGTCTCTTTGTGGTCATTTTGTAGTTTATTTGTGTCTTTCTGTAGTCGTCGTGCGTTTCTTCGATAGTTGTTTTGTAGTTGTTTCGAGTCTGTAGACGCTGTCTGATATGATTCTAAATATCACAGCACAAAATATCATATGAAAGCATCAAAGAAAGCCTGAGATGCAGGTTCTTTTTCTTTCTTTCTGAAAGCAGAGTTATTTCTATTCTGTTGTTCTGATTTAAGTTGCTTTACTAGTCCTTCAGTATTTGATTAAGATGTAACTGTAGCTTCAGTATGCAGGAAGAAAAACAAAACTAAAACAATTATTGGTATGGTCTTTGGCATGTATGCAATAAGAATAAATCCCAATGAGGACACTTTTAATGAGCTTGGTGACTTACGAACAAGTCATGTTTACGGTAACTTTAAACAGGCTCTTGTCCAGAGTCCCTCCGGCCCTTTCAGTAATCCAAACATACAAGTGACATTACATTTGTCAAGGTGACATTTATTCATATGTCACATTCCATCCTGTACATTTTGACATTCATGTCACTCTCCCGAAATAAGTGGTGCTCGTCTTTTATCTTCTAACATCGGGATAACTCAGCTTTGTCAGCAGTAAATCATTAAGAGCATTGAAGTCGAGCTGTAATGTTCCTGCCATCCATTCATTAGATAGAATCTAAGGGCTGGGCTCACTGCCACCTGGATAAAAATGAACTATTCCAACATTTCTCATTTGAATTAGCTTAGTGTGAGAGTATGTTGAATAACAAACAAATCAATTAGGACAGGAAAGTGGCAAAGCTTTCTGATAATTCAACTTCAATCAAACAATAACTGATGGTTTGTTTTTTGCAGCTTGCTATAACTGAAATGTTATCAGCTGAAACTCAAACTTTTTCCTCCTCCTTTGTGCTGATAATGGCCGTGCAGATTTAATGTGCACTCTGCTGCTCTTTCCTCCTACGACCTCCATGTTCTGCAGCCGCGTCATTACATTTACTGCTAATCTATAGCGCCATTGACCTGAGCAGCTGGATACCAGCCAGGCAGGCAGAAGCCGAATATCAGGACCTGATTGTTCCCTCATCTCCATAAAAATTATATGGAGTCATAAACGTCACTTTTATCTGGAAGAGGACAAAATTGCATTTAATGCGACTGCCCTCCTACTCATTGTGGGTGGTTTTGCCCTCTCTCCGCTCTCCTCACCGTTTTACCTGCTGCTTCTCCACAAAAAAGAATTTACCAAAGCATTTCTGAGAAGTTTTGTTCATCTGCAATAATGAACTTGTTCAAATTTAAAATCGGATCTTTGAATATGCAATTCTCTCTTTCTCAAACATGATACGAGCCCACTTTTTCAAACACAACTTTCAGCACACAACACTTTACTTTTGATGTTGTAACACAGCTTCAACATTCATAAAAAATAGCACCTCATGTTTGAATATTAAGCTATATTTAAAAACTTTATGTAGATTTAAGGCAAATATCAGAGCTTAAACACAAAATAGACCACATGACATGAACATCATGTCTTGTCAAACAGAAAAACGAGTCTTTCGTTTCAACATGTAAATAACTGAGTGTGATCTTACCCACTGAAATCGTCCACACTGCCATGATCTTGATGCGGGCCTTGGTGTGGGAGTTGAAGCGGCTGTGGTGGATCGGGTTGCGTATGCCGATGTATCGATCCAGAGAGATGGCGCAGAGGTGCATAATTGACGCCGTGGAGAACAGGACGTCCAGGTAGATCCAGATGGGACAAAGGTCAGAGGGCAGCGGCCACCCATAATCTGCCGAGGAAAGGGACGAGTTGATAGATGGAAAGATGAAGAGAGAAGAAGTAAAATACTGTTAGTGTCCTGGTTCTGATCAACCCTTTCATAAAAGGTTGACAGTGGATTTCAAAAAGGTCTTGCTTGGCTGAGATGGAAAAGAAAACCGTATTACAAATACATTCAAAATCTGATTAAAATGAAAACCAGCAAACCTTTACCTTTGTGAAGTCGCAACATGAGATGTTTTTGCATCAAAAAATTACTTCAATTATCAAAATAATGGCCAATTAATTTTATGTCAGTCGACTAATTGATTAATCACCTAAGATTCATATGTTTTGTTTCTATTGTAATGTGTAAAGTGGCTAAAGCTGTCAGATAAATGAAGTGGAGTAGAAATAGAAAGTAGAAAGAAAAGAATAAACTAAATGTACATAGTTACTTTCCACAATTGGAAAAGTCAGTGTGAAAACAAACGTACCAGAACTATCGGCCCGTCTGAAAAAGTAACCACGCCGTGATAAATCGAGTGAGTCATACAGATGGAACATGGCCGAAGGCCTCAAAACCTGAGCGCACGCTCCATATACATGCACACGGTCAGAGGCTGGAACTACACACATGTTACCTTCACATATCACACACGCACACACACACACACACACGCAGCGGTGTCCTTCATGGCCGCCTACAGCAGCCATCTCTATATTTAGTCCAGTAAATTGGTCTTTAAACCACTCAGCTGCAGATTGAAGTGACGTTATACAATATTCGGAATACATGTATGAAGGCGGATTCTATACATCAAGATGAAGTTTATTTGAAGAGGTAATTTCACTCAAGGCAGTTCGAAGATGTAGAGCATGAAATCAGAAGGAGAATAAGATCATTCATTTATTTAAAAAATAAAAATGGATTCAACAAGATATTTTACAGCGTCTTCTTCATTCTCTGTATCGACGGACGAAAATCTATTAATTAATAAATCTTTATTTCTCAGTCAACCAAACTGTTTGATACTCAATTGATAATCAGTTTCCCTTATAATGGAGTCTTGTTAATTTCACTTCCTGTTTTATTTTGCATTCACTTGCTAGCTACTTTACTTCCTGCCATCGTTTAGTTTCCCGCCAGTTTTGTTCCTCACCTGTGTTCCATTATCTCGTCAGACCTCCCGGTACTTAAACCCCGAGCTGTTCAGTACCCATTTGCAGATTGTCTCAGTTTTTTGCACACAAGCGCTCCAGTGTTTGTTTGTTCCTAGTGATTTACCTCAGCCTGTTTCTTTGTTTTTCCGTATTCCCCAGCTCCTCCTGAGGTGTTCCCAGGCCAGATGAGATATACAGTATAATCCCTCCAGAGTGCTCTGGCTCTATCTCGGAGCCTTGTATCAGTTGTACATGTCCCGAAAACCTCCAAAAGAAGGCGTTGAGGAGGATCCGAGGATCAGATGTTGAACCACCTTGGCTCTTTTCGACCGGATGGCTGAGCTCCTCACATTATTTCTGAGGCTGAGCTCAGCCACCCTGCAGAGGAAACTCATTTGTGCCGCTTGTATCTGCGATCTCATTCTTTCGATCACTACCAGCTCATGGGCTTTGGGAATAAGAAACCCATCTTTATTTTTCTTTAAAAATAAAGGGCAGGATGTCTACATCGTGTTCAGGGTCAAGATGAAGCATTTACTCCTCCTCTATATCCTCTGTTGTTACCTCCATGCAACAGGTGAGGGACGACCTGATGAAGGCTTTTATTATTTAGGAGATGACTCATCCATGTCACCATAGTTACCGCCAGACACCTCATCCTCGTCTGATTTCCTCTTTTCTTTCAGCTTTCCATTTTATCGTCCTCCTCCTTTTGCACTCAAATGGTGTTTGTCCTCCGTCTCTCTCTCTGTCCTTCGTTGTCTCTATCACCTTCTTTTATGAATCTCTCTCGCATTCAGTCACAAATAGAATTCTTCCTTCTCGTTCTTTGTGCTTTCTACTTCTCCCGAATTAAAGTTCCCATTCAGTCTGTTATGTTTTGTTTTTTTGCCTCATTCTCTATTTTCAACAAAGTACAAGTGGAAATGTTGAGGATTACTACAAGTCATCAGGACTCATCCTCTGAGCACCATAAACATTTGCGCCACATTTCATAGCGATCCATCTAATAAATTGAGATATTTTACTCTGCGTGGGACAAATAGACTGACTGACACTGATGATATTCAATACCTCATAATGACAAAGCAAAATCAGGATTCTAGAAATTCTTTTGCAGATGTATTCCAAAGAAAAAAAGTGAAATATCACATTGACAGATCATCTTTGAGATGTCTCTACACCTTGATAGGGGTCCACCTGTGGTCAATGTAATCGATTGGAAGTGACTGGAAAAGAAACGTGTCTAAGAAAAGGTCTCAAAGCTGATACATCAGAGGAAAAACTGAGCCATGAGGTCAAAAGGAGCTACCTGCAGAGCTCACAGACGTGATGGTATCAAGGCACAGATCTGGGGAAGGCTACAAAACTAATATGCTGCTCCCAAGAGCACAGTGGCCTCATAATTATCCAATGGAAGGGTGCTTTCAGACTTTGAATACTCCTGTTGTAAAGGGACAGAGATACACAGGGTCAAATTGGCTGCATGGACGAGAGGAAATTAATTTAAAGTTGGTGGGCTGAAACATATGTTAACACAAGTGTTTTGCTTTAAACTGTGTGACTTGTGTTTGTTGTTTCTTGTCCAGCAGGGATGTTGCTCTGCAGTCGATCCTCTATTCTGAGTTCCCCGTTGAGAAACACAAAGAGAAAAGAGAATTCACCCTGAGGGACTGATAAGGTTTCACGCTATTACCGGCTCCTCATCCTCTGATGGTGATGACCTGGAACCGGAGTGAATTATCCCTCGCAGAGAAATCCCACCCCACACCAACAAACGCACAAACACAGACACACACACTGAAAAACATCCCCCCAGAAAATCCCACAGGGCCTGCTGAGATGTGACTTTTTGCTCCCACGCCTGCTTCTGCAGACAGAGCCGTCCCTATGAGACCGCTGCTGCGGTTTCAAACTCAACGTGTTCTGCCGTTGTCACCTCTGCCTTGTTCCTTTCAAAGAGCCGACGTTTCTGGATCCCCCGGATTGTAAAACCTCAACACAGGAAAGGCTGCGACTGTGACATTATTCCTCAGTACCTGACACCAATTAGACCCAGTCAGCTCTGCACCAGAACTCAACTGTGAAAAGACACCCGTTTTCTTCCTGTTGAAAGCAGTCTTAACAAGCCGGCGTCTTAGAGAAATAAGCTCAAGTTTCACGGAGAATAAATCATTTAAGTGATTATGATACAGACTCCCCAGCAGATCACATGCTTTGAACAGCACACTGAAGTCGTGTAACTTTAAAATCTGCTGGAAATCAGGGAAAAAAAACTGGCAGGAGCGTTTATTTTTTTACATCCTGCAGTGTCTGACAATGTATCCCGGTGTAATTGAAATGTTAAAGTAATAAATTTAACTTAAGTCAACTTTGTTTTCAGGGGCCTGCTTACTTTGCTTCCATGCACATGTTTGTAGTGAACAGTTACATTAAAATAAAAGACCTTCAGTCACTTTGTAACCAGCAATCATCACAAACACAAGAGCTGAAATGATCATTAACTGACACAAATTTAAGTAATTTTTTAATCAAAAATCCTAAAAGTTTCTAGACAGCCTCTATCACGTGAAGACTTCTTTTAATGTCCAGCAAGTTTATTATCTTTACGTCTTGGGTTGTTGGTGGGACAAAAGAAGACAAAGTGATGGTATTTTCACTATTTTTGATGTTTTATAGACCAAAGAGAAAGTAATTGTTAGCTGCAGGCCTGTAAACATGTTTTTCTTGAATTCATGAATATGAAGCAAAATTAGATGTATTAGAGTTATGTGACTTAAAGTATGGAACACAGCAACCTGCTGACTTTTTGTAAATAATCAAACTTCTTTCTCTGTTTCGTGTGCGAGTTGTTCGTGAAACCACATAATTAAAACCACTGGATCTGAAACAGCTGTGTTTTCATTGTTTAGCAGTGAAGGTTAACAGTGGGTCATTCTTTCAAGTTTTACGATGTCTTGAGTCCAGAGAGGGGAACTGCAGGAGAACAGAGTGCAGAGTATCGATTGTCTGACACACTAAGAGATTCGATCACGTCGGTCGTCTCTGGGAGGTGAATCCTCGGTAGCTGAATGCTGCAGACTGTTAATCACAGCGAAGCCTTTCATGTGACACATACTGTAGCTGACACTTTGGCTGCTGTCAGTTTGGAGGAACTACAACAAACTGAAGTGGAAGACCTTTTTTTTAGCTCTCATGTGTGTTTCTGTGGTCTGAGTTAAAGAGAATTTAACCTGGAACATGTGACAGCTGTTGGTTAACATCTGAATCTTTTATACACAGCCCGAACCGCATGAAACAAAACTGCACTCGAGCCTTTTTAAACTCGTTGAACTTGTGTCGAAACAAAGCAACGACCAGGGAGTTTGACTCTGAGCCCACAGACGATAAAAAGATTCACTAAGAAAGAAAATGTTATGTGAAAATCAAAAGATAATTATCAAACGTTTTAGTTTTTTCACACTCCTGCAAGTTAAAATTGGAAAATAAATGCTGCAAAAGGATTCTTACGAAATGTTGATTCAAAGATCTTCAATTGAAAAATCCTCTCAATTTCAACATATGCATGAGCATGGACGCACATTTGAATCTGTAGTTTGACAGTGACAGTTATTTGTGAAACAAGATAACGGGCACAATGTGCAATCTACGCGCAGGTAGTTGCAAATGACTTTTGTGAAAATAAAACTAAAGCAGCTAAATGGAATTTTTTCTATTATTTACATCAGTGATATGTCAAAATGTCTGAAAAATCAGCTGTGAAAAAGGCCTATTATAGTGTCTCATTCATCACATAATGCAAGAGACCGAGTGCACAACTGCTGCATCAACAATACAGACCAACAAACGCATACACCTGTGTTTGAT